CCCCCCCCCCCCGTCAATGACCGTTATTTATTTCATCAACAACTGGGTGTCTACATCGGAGATGATGATGGTGATGAACGCGAAACCTTACCTTCCCCCCTCCGCCGCCGCCGACGATGACCGTTCTTCATTTTGTTCTACAACGCCTGACAGACGTGGTACCCGCACTCGGTGTCCATGATGCCCAACCCTGACGACCCGCCGGAGGTTGACCCTCGCCGCAAGTGAGACTATTATAGAGGCTCGTGGCCCCCCTTTGACTTGTGTTGTTGTCTCCTTGGTCGGAGCAAGAATTTGTTCGTGTGCGTGGTTCATGTGGCCTTCTCAGGTATAGGGGCAGGAGGAGGGGTGCAATTATAGACGAGAGGTGGGCGGCGGCAGTGGTGGTAGCAGCAGCAGCAACACAGATAATTTTATAGTTTCGCGTGACCCTAGCCCACACGAAACAAAACAACACCCCGCCTCACCAACAAGAGCAAGGTGGCAGCAGCAGCAGCAGCAGCAGCAGCATCAGCAGCAGCATCAGCAGCGGCAACAGCATGCCTGAACCAAGCCCAACACGAAAACTTTCCTTCCCCATCCGCAGGGACCCTGACCGGCCGGCTGAGGCACCCCCGGTGCGCATGCCCGTGGTGGACGTGGGGGGCAGCCAGATGGACGTTATCTCGAGGCTGCTCAAGGATCGCATCCTTCTCTTGGGGCAACAGGTGGGCAGGACGGGGCCGGTAGGGGTGGGGGTCGACGGTTATGGCTTGCAACGACCGCTTGGAGCAAAGGCAGAGGGCGCGTTTTGTTTCTGGCCTATCGATGAGAATGCTTACTCTGTGACGCCGGCTGATACATGCGTCAAGTGTGAATGTGCGCTGAGAAGGCGCGTAGACTGAGGGGACGAACACACCCACGCACCCATCGATGTTGCATATTGTTGTATCGATCGAATCGGGTTCCCAATCGCTAGAATGTTGGCTCACTCCGCCTAGCTAGTGTCGCGATATCCAATGGCGTGGAGGCACTGCTGTTGCTTCCATTTATTGCGGATCGGAGAAAGTCGGAAACCACCGAGTCGATGATGCGCAAATTGTTGGAATACGATCCATCGAAGCTGAAAAAGAAGATCACCACCTTTTGTTTGGGGTCCGGAATCTAGCCTTGGCCCGCCCGTCCACACGCACGTGCTCGCTCGTTCCGATTGTGTCCCACCGTGTGGAGCAGGTGAACGACGAGGTCGCGAACGTGCTGGTGGCGCAGCTGCTGTACCTCGCCAACGACGACCCCGACAAGGACATCACCCTCTACATCAACTCCCCGGGGGGCTCCGTATCTGCGGGCATGGCCATCTACGACGCGATGCAGGTTGTTGTTGTTGTTGTTGTTGTTGTTAGCATCGACTGTATTGTGTAACTTGGCTGACCGATGAAAAGACGCAAGTTTCGGTTCGGCTCAGATCGGGAAGCGTTGCTGAAGGCACGTGGTCCATCCCTACCTCCTCCTCCTCCTCCTCCTCCTCCTCGTTGTTGTCCTAGTCCTCATCGTTGTCCTCTTGCCCTCATCAGTCGGGTGGCGTGGTTGCGCGTATGCCTGTTATTCTTCCGTGCCCCTCGATTACGTTGCTGCCTGTGTCACTGTTTTGGTGCGGATGGCTCTTCTCAGGGGTGCTTAGCGAACGCTTGGTCGAGTCACACCCAACAGCAACTTTTGCACTCGCAGCATCATGGTAGCCATAATCGCAAACGTTTGATACACAAGCTTCGGCCACTCCCCCCTTCAAAACGACCTTGGTGCTTGGTGTGGTGTTATCGTACCTAATCGACCGGTGTTTCTCGTCATTATCTACCGAATTTTGTCCACGTTCACTCATGCGATCCATCGACCTTCCTTTTTTTTTGTTTATTGCATCCCCTCCCAACCGTCTCACTGCACGCTGCACTCCGTCACCTCCGTTTCAGCTCACCTTTTCTTTCTTCTTTCTTCCTTGTTGTGTTTTTGTCCCGCACTCCGTTGGATTTCATCCCTTGCCATTCGTACCCGTTCTGATTCATCCCGTACGCGTACCGTTCCATCCCGTTTATTTCCGTGTGCCATTTCAGTACGTGCCGTGCGATGTGTCTACCGTGTGCTTCGGCACGGCGGCGTCTATGGGGGCCTTCCTTTTGGGCGCGGGGGCTAAGGTACGACAGATAACTGTTGATTGTTCTCTTCTAGTGCGAGGTATTCGTTTTTTCATGGTCCTTTGGGGTCATTGGCTTGTGACCACGGAAGGTGTCCGCGCAAATTGGATCAGTACGGACATTGGAAGTTACGGAGCGGAGACCAGAACGGTTTTTAATGTGAAGACAACATCATATACCGAATTTTTTCTTTCCCGTGGTTTGTCTTGAACGGGGCCTCTGAAAAGCAAGGCTGTCGTCCCCATGCTGCCTCAATCGCATGTTGCTGTTGCTCACACCGATTTCTTCATTCGAGTTCCTGTGTCATCGTCCACTTCTGTCCAAACGTCCAACGTCGAATGGGTTGGAGGGCTTCCTTTAGAACGTTGGACTCAACGGCGGTATCATTGTCGCACACGGTGGTATAAAAGTATTCCTCGCTACGTGCAGCCGTTACAACGTTTGAGGAAGTGGTGATGGAGGTCTGAAAGGCAACGTTGTACTCTTTTTGTAGACAGGAAGAAGGCACGATTCACCGAAATCACGAGTTCATAGCGCCCCTTTTTTCGTCCTCTTCTCCCCCCCCCCCCCCCCCCCCCCCCCCCCCCCCCCCCCCCCCCCCCC